GGTTATCTTTTACGTACGTTGTCATATGGTTATCGTTCTAGGGTTAACGTATCTAGAAACTTGATTACCTTGAAATAACGACGAGAAGGACTTTCCGGTACACCTAATACATCGACCCGGTGCAAGAGGTTAACAGCTATTGATTTCTATTCGGAGATTAAAATTTAAATGCAGCTATACGCGTAACACTCGTTTCAAAACGGCCCCGGAGTCTCGGTATCCGAGAGAAATGAATTTTGAATGGGGCCCCGATGATCGCGTCGTACGGTAGCCGTGTGTTAGGCTATTGTAATCAGGTTGCGACCGTTCCGCAGAGCCGAGGCGACTGACAGAGACGCGGCTCGAGTGGCAGACGCAGCCCGGGCTGGTCCAGGTTCAAGGACGGGGTCGAAGGAAACACCATCAGGCGAAACGATGGCAGCGTTCCAAGAGATCGATCAGCCGGCCGCGTCACGTCGAGGCCCTCGTTGTCGCCGACACGACCATGATGGCTTTTCATCAGGACGGCGACGTCGAGACGTATCTCCTGACCATCATGAACATGGTGTCGTCCCTCTACCTGGACCCCACCATCGGCAATTTCATCAACGTCGTCGTCGTCAGGATCATCCTCGTCGAGGAGGACGAGGCGGAAGTACGTTGAAATCGCGTTAACCCTCTAATGGTTGTCCCCGTCTCCGTCGAAGGGACTGCGGGCTTTCACGCGTCCACATTAGCGAATCGTTTTCACTCTTTGGGGCACTGGATTTCAGAATATAAAATAGACCCATGTTGCACAGAAATTTTGTTGCGTTTTAAGTTGAATGAAATTGGTACATTTTTATCGACGAAGGAATCGCATAAAAACATAAAAGATAATAATAATAACGCAATTCAATTTGTTGTTATAGGATTCATGAATGCCACACGGGTTCATGAAGCAGCAGCAGAAATATTGCAATGCAGCTATTGCAATATTTCGAGGTGGGTCTGAAAATATCCCGCCGTGCATCGAAAAGATGGGACATTTTTAATCCCTCCGTGCCCCAAAGAGTTAACGCGACACCTTGAGGAAAGAGAATATATACCATTCTCTCGTTCTCTTCGATCGAGCACTATAAAGAGGGAGAGAGAGAGAGAGAGGGTGGGATTACGGAAAATTAGGGAGCCCGTGGCAGCTCGATCCGGAGGAAACAATTTTTCTTCGATGGAACGTCGGGGGTTTTATGAAATCCATTTGAAACTTCATTCAAGTTCCCGGCGAATGAAGTTGCCAGGCAGCGTCGAAAGTTAATTCCTGGAACTTCATCCTCGGCTACTCTTCGATCGGGAAGCTTAACGTCCGCGTCAGTCATGGCGCTTCGTTGAACTTTCGAACTATCAGTTTCAGCGGGATGTAGATCGACGCCGAGTTTTTCCTGTCGACTTTGAACGGTAATGCTTCTCGCGTACAGAACTTTTGTAGAAAATTATGAGAGAGAGAGAGAGAGAGAGAGAGAGAGAGCTACCAGTGGGACGTCGGGATTATCCTTGGATTTGGTTATTGGAGTTACAGAACCGGGATCTTTGTAATGGTCTGTTAACCCAGCCGTGTCGCGCCGGGCTCTGTCGTACTTGCGATTTTCCTCCGTATCGATCTCTGACATTTAAGCAAATTATTCGCTGAATTATTGTTAACTGGACTGCGGATTTTTATGCAAGATAAAAATTGTCCGTATTTGTTGCAAGAATCAGGCGTCGCTTGGGATCTTCTTCTTTCTTCTGATGATGACAATCAAGCTCAACCCCTTGCCGTACCATTTTCTTCATAATTAAAATGATAAGCACATTTTCGATTGTAATAATTTTTCCGAAAAGAAAGAAAATTTATATTTATCGTGTGTCTACATATACTGGGATGATTAAAGTATTGAACACAAGAGGACAGAATTTTATCCCGGCTTAAAAAAACGGAATGACATTGGTATTTAACACGTTCCGTGCCGAGCTTTTTTTACTCGAATCTTCACACTTTGATATTTTACTAAAACTTGATGTATTACGTGCAATTATTAATTCTCGTACACATAACAACGTAACAAAAACTTATCAACGCCCATTCTTGCGGTGGAAATTGATTCTTCGGTTCTAAATTTCTTGT